AATTCCCATCAGGAGACCTATAGATAGATATAACACAGATGATAGAAGTTGATAAGTTAATTTTTATGGCACAAACTTCAATGTCTTGTTCCTTGCAAAATTCTTGTAAATTAATAGTTATAAAACTTATAAATTCATGAATAAAAATGCATGTTCCACCATCTTTTAATTTTTCTCTACAGAATTTTGCTCCTAACTTATAATGTTCTATTGGTGAGCTTTCCAGTTCAAATTCCCTTAAATGGTGTTCCGTTATGCATAAAATATGAGGGAGATCCGGGAGTAGTGAGTTTAACATTTCAGTTCTTTTGTTTCTCAGTCCCCTAATATTTTTAAATCATGTACAAAAATTTATTTTGTACCTCACAGGAGGCACATCAAGTCTCTGCTACAAAGATCAGCTGGTTAATGCTGTTTAAGGGAACAATCACTGTTTGCTATGAGAGTCATACTGGTCTTTAAAATGTTGTATTCACATATCAGTCATAATACTGCTATGAATTTTGTTCATATAACAAACAGTATTTCTTTTCTCTATATTGGCCCCACATTCAGTCTGAAAATCATTCATTTTCACAAAGCTCTAATTAATTTAGCATGGGTTTAAATCAATTACCCTTCATATAAATGAAGCCCTGCCTCCACATCAAGCATTCAACTTTATTTTATTGAGAAGGCTTTGAAACTGAACATTCAGAGTCACAAAGAACCAAAATTAAGGGCTGCATAGTGCCTAATCATGGAAGCTAGCCTTGTACATAAATATACATTTCAGACATGCCTGTAGTTTGCTTGAGCTTATCCTTGGCAGGGATGCTGCTGCTTGTAGCACCTGATGATGTCTCCCCACTAAGTGAAGGCAGATTTGATGGTAGGACTGAAGTTGGTGTTCCTGTAGAGGTTGTAGGACCTTGAGGTTCTTCCCAATCATTCAAGGCTGTTGAGTCATGTGTGATAATATCATGCATAGAAGATTCTAATACTGGTGTTGCAACTCCCACGCCTATTGATGGCTCAAGAATTGGTATTTCAGATGATGACCCTGCTAACACTGCTGTGTCATGTGCCTTTGTTGATTCAGATGTAACTGATAAGGCCTCTTTCGTTGCTTCATTTACTGTTGATGAGGATGATGTCAAAGTTGCTATTATTTTCGGCTCTTCTGTTGAAGTGTTAAGACCTGGACTTTTTATATAGCTGGTGTGCTTTTCTTGTTCTTTTTCAGCCTTGTTTGGAATTTCAGATCTTGTATCTTCTGTTGTAATGGGCAAATCTTCTTCACTCATACTTGATGGTATGTCAAATGGAAGTAGTTGCGATTTTGAGGTGGTTGTCGTTGTGATGAACTCCTCCCCTTCTTGCAAAGTTTCTGGAGCCTGAAGAGTTGTGTATTGGTATTCTCTGTTATCCTGATTGTCTTGATCTTCCATCACTGTTATCGAAATTTTATGGTCTTCATGCTCGGTGTTTTTGTTGACACCTGGTTTATGAAATGGTAACAGCTGGTCCACACCTGGCTGTGGTATCGGTTGGGGTCTTCTGTTGTTATTCCAGTTTGGTTTCAATGAAGGTCTGGGTCGTGGAGGTCTTGGCCTCTGAGGTCTGACAGTACCCTGATTCCCTGGAGGTCTATTGCCACTGTTGGAATTTGACACTGGAACAACTTGCTCTGGGAGAGGAACTCCAGTCATAAATGGATGATCAGGTTGGTGGTGGTTCTCTGACGGTTGGGGAGGCAGAGGGACAATTACTGGAGGTCGATCAAAAGGGTAAGGTGGTGGTAATCGGGAAGAAGTCTGCAAAGGTATGAGTGCAGGTGGATGATGACTAAATGTTGGATGAGGACCTGATGTATCGAAATCCGGTGGAAGAGGAGGTACGTCTGTTATTCTCGGCGGCCCACGGTTGTTGATCCTTGTACTCAGAGGACGTAGTGGTCTCCCGCCTCCCATCATACCTCCTGGTGGTAAATTGGGATTTGCTTGTACTTTCACGTTCCCATTTAAGAGTTTCACAATGCCTGTGATGATGTCCTGTATGTCCGGGCTCGTCTTACGTTCATCATAATTGCTTCGGAAAGAAGCTGACGGCAATCCTGGTGTTTCAGTCTCCTTCTTTAACGATTCCTCTGCTATTTGAGATGCATTCGTTTTCTTCGTTCCGTCTACAAAAGCCGTCGGGGTTTCGGGCTCCGTCAAGGAGAGTGATCTCCCCCGCGGAGCCCCATGCTCTTCCCCCGAATGCGTCTTTTCATCAAGAAATCTTCCATCCACCGATGTTGTTTTAACTATCTCAGCTCTGTCATCCTTTTGGACTGATATGGTCTTTGTTGGCTGAATGGTTCTGTAATATTCCCCCGCTTTTCCACCGATACAGTTATCCACTTCATTTGTACACAAACGATCGCCGTTTTTGTTCCTAGATTCCAGTGATGTTACCTTTCTGTTGGGTGTCGCTGCCGAATTTTCTAATATTTGAGAAGTTGAAATTTTAGAGTCAATTGATCTTGGCAGTCGTTGTGTCGATAATTCTGCGTCATCTGTGTCGATTATATTTTCTTTCACAGTTGGATTTTCAGAAAAAATTACAGAAAGAGAAGAAGACTGAACTAATTCAGGTCTGGTAAATCTTTTATCGAAATCTGATGACTGATTTACAGTTTTTGTATGTTTTACTATGGTTTCACCACTCATTATGACGTTATCAGCCAAATATGACTTCCTTTTCAGCTCCAGCGAGACTGATGTTGCATCAATCGCCGAACTGTGGCCGGAAATGCTCTGTGGTGACGGGTTGTGCGAACCTGAAACAAAGAAACGGCTTGTAATTTTCGAAAATTATATTTGAATAACTTTCCATTGTTACTGTGTACCTTCATTGCTTATCACCGAGAAAGAGAGCACGTTTAAACATTTACAGAATCCAATTGGTCATATGATTTCCCTACTTATAAGCGACGTAGGAAATTTTAATTTTAAAATAATGGCGCACATTTCGACTTAAACCTCATCGCCCCGTACCTTGCCATTTCATGATAGAAACTGTATACATGAATGCAAAAAGCTACTGAACGCAACTTTGTTAATGAAGAACACTATCTTCCGGGATGGGACGTTACGTGACCTGAGAGATATTTACTGACGTTTCGGAAGAACGGAATGCCTCCATATTCAGGGTACAAGAAACGTCGATAAACCACTACTAGAGTACACAGTGTCACATCCCAGAAGACAACATTTGTTTATTTCACATATATTTCCTTCTTAAGTGCAACTTATTATCTATTCGCCCTTCTTCCTCACATGTTTCGGCAGTATGCGGCGATTCTGAGGTGTCTTCTGTCGTGCTAATCGTTGCACTGTATGTCAAAATTACGTATCGCTTGGGAACGCGATATTTCCTTATTGACATAAATTTACCTAAATTAAAATTAATTAACATCCCAGTGTTTTCCTTGTGACCGTCGTCCTTTCGTTTAGAAGATATTTGCTTGAGTGTCTCTTGTATTTATTTGCGCAGCATTCCCTTTGTAGCTTGGGTATTATGCGCGTGATTTGTGCAGTTCACAAGGATGCTGATGTAGTGTTATTATCAGCCAAATGTGCATTCACAAAGAACTGATAATAACCCTACATCAGCATCCTTGTGAACGGCACAAATCACGCGCGTAATACCCAAGCCGCAAAGGGAATTCTGCGCAAATAAATACAAAACAAGAGACATTCAAGCAAATATCTTCTAAACGAAAGGACGACGGTCACAAGGAAAACACTGGGATGTTAATTAATTTTAATTTAGGTAAATTTATGTCAATAAGGAAATATCGCGTTCCCAAGCGATACGTAATTTTGACATACAGTGCAACGATCAGCAAGATAGAAGACACATGAGAATGGCTGTATACAGCCGAAACATGTAGTGAGGGAGAAGGATTACTACAGAATTATTAGCGTTTGAGACGGAAATATATGTAAAATAAATTATACATTAGTGCAACAAGTTGCTTAAATACAATGCAATAACATTCATACTCACCGCAAGAGAACCTCAAACCTAACCTAACCTTGTCACATTTGATATGTTGGAATTGAGGCTGGCTCTCACGGCGGTGGTTATGAAAGAGTTCTACATTCTGGGATGTACATAATGCCATGCAGTCCGTCGAATGTCAACAGCCCGTTTTCATGGTCGAAAAGTAAGACAAGCAAGAAACTCGTATGATGCTGCTACTTGAAGCCGTCCGTTCGCCTCCATCAAGTGTCACGATTTAAACGCGTGGAACGATATCTTCATTCTGCCATACTCCTTCGCAGTTACTTTCCATCTTTACGCAGTTAATTAGAAACTATATTATCCCTCGCGAAGAGGATGTAGCTGTAGAACAGTTCAACAAAGGATTCAGCATTGAACAGATACTTCTCTACTTTGCGGCGTTTCGAAGAGCAAAACGACGAAGACCTAAGAGAGGCCGCGTTCATGATCTCCCAAAATATATGCATAATGACATGCCGTCTTCACAGAATGAACTCCTTAGTTTTAGTCGTGAAACAAGCCTATCCCGCTATAATGGAGCTCGCATACGTATAGTGAGGGGAAAGGAAACAAAAGGTAGAATGACCAGCAACTGGAAGCGTTGCAATTATGGTTACTGCGCAGCCATACAATCTTTCACGCGTTTTTCCCCCTTGGCCTCTTGACTTTCACCGACCGTGACCGTAGCTTCAACGATGTTGCCACTCCTGTCTGTGTCATTGAATTCCTGCATTCCAGTGTAGCACGCGAGAACCCATGAGGATATGGAAACTGCCTTCAGTTGATCTACTTCGCTCTTTCCATACAGGAACCAATGTAAATATCCCAGAAACCGTTTACAATGCATGACATGACGCAGGAAGCAGCCAACGAGGAATGTTGTCATAAGTTTATTCCATTCGCAAATTGTAATACAATTTCCAGGCATGTTCAGAGATAAATGAATTAATTCGATTACGTAATCGTCAAAGCCCTGCTTCGTGGCGCATGTCCTTGGTTCGAAGCCCTCCCAATTTAAAATTTACCAAATGTCCATAAGCCTACCTTTCCGAAACTGCATAATGCGACTGTTATGTACTGTACACGCCTACTGACTCCAGGATAGTCTCAGAGCTAGGCAAGCTATTCCTTTCTCCTTTTATGGAAATTATTGTTGTTAGTAATAATCCTGTTGCTCCCTCTGGAGCATTAGGCATCCGTGAAACGCCGTTTCACTTCAGTTTCTTAATTTTACACGCAGTCGGCACGACTCCTTGGACGGCGGATCAGCCCGTCTGAAGACCGTTACCTACACAGGACAACTTAAGACGTCATTGTCATGTTGTCTCTGACATTAAGGGAGGAACATAGACTGAGGGTGTTTGAGAACAGGGTGTTGAGGAGAATATTCGGGCCAAAAAGGGCTGAAGTGGCAGGTTGGAGAAAATTGCATAATGAGGAGCTTCATAACTTGTACTCTTCTCCAAGTATAATTAGAATGATCAAGTCAAGAAGGATGAAATGTGCGGGGCATATAGCACGAATTGGAGAGAAGAGGAATGCATATACGATATTGATGAGAAAGCCAGATGGAAAAGACCACTGGGAAGACAAAGTTGTAGATGTGCGGATAATATTAAAATGGATCTCAGAGAGCTACGATGGGATGGATTAGATTGATCTGGCTCAGGATAGGGACCGCTGGAGGGCTCTTGTGAACACGGTAATGAACCTTCGGGTTCCACAAAATGCTGAGAAGTTCTTGTGCAGCTGCAGATTTGGCTTCTCCTCAAGAACAACCCCCTTGTTCCCATTAGAGAGGAGGTTGGGTGGGGCCCAAAGCCTGTCTGGACTACATTGAGGGGAGAACATTTTTGCTCCCACCGGGACTCGATGCTAAATACCTGTGTCCCACCACGGAACTATGTGCACACACAGAAGAATGAACCTTCTTTTGGCACGAGTACAAGACAATTTTACATTTATCCCTGTGTTTGAACGCCACTCCATGAAGATATGTCAGGGGGTGGAGGAAAATATGCATGCATTCTTATCCTCGACCTTAAATGCAGCTGCTTTACTTTCCAGTGAAAGAGACATCAGTAGTCAGAGCCATCTAGTCGTGATGAAGAAGAGAAGAGCCCCTGTTCTTACGGAGAAACGAACTGCGGGCGTCAATCCCTCCCGAACCCATTCATTTGACTCACAGTACTGCGGCTAATGTTCGTAGAACAAGTAGTAGTTGCGGGGAATGTTATTGGAGTGACCAGTATTGTGGAGCTGGGACCGTTGATGTAACGGGACTTACTGTTTTGTGCGTGTAAGAAGTGTAACGGTATTGGTCGCCCAGCTGCAGGGACGGTCAGATCAGGAATTCTTTCAAAGGCCGCGAGAGTCTTCACCTCCGCCCATGCGCCATCTTGTTTGAAAGGGCAAGTCTCTCTTTCGCTCCTAGTCTCCTGAACATGCCAAGAAACAAGTGGGCCGGGATTTGGTTGCATACTGTCGCCATCGACTTCTTCGTGGCAGCTTTTCTTTTCCATTGTCTTTGGTTTTTCATGCTCTTCTGTGTACAAACTCTCTCTTGGTAAATAACAGTGCTAGATGGAGTATTGTCGCAAGTAATTTATAATTTCCCTTGAAGTACATAGATTCTAAAGTAGCAAGAAATAAAGCTGAAAGAATGCGGCAGACTGGTTTCTAATATCAGTTAATTAATATTATTTAAATAGAAGGGTACATAGGGTTTTGAACACAATGACGGCAAGAAATTAAAAAGTTGGCTTGAGTCAGTAACGCTACCAGCTTGTATGCGGTATGCATCTGGTTCGAACCTTGGTCGGCATACCAACTTCCTGAGAACTTATCTCGGTTTTCTTCAGTCCATCCTTGTGACTGTCAGAAGATATGCCATGACCACTACTACTGCAGTCCTTTGAAGCTTGCAACCTCTCACGCTGCATTATATTGTCGCATCCTGTTCCACATTAATTTTTTTAATTCGCTTACTAGGGGTGGAGTCCAACTGGGTCCACTCGGCACGGCGGCCACTGATTGGCCTATTGTAGCCTACCCGGGTTATTATAATGATGGAGAATTTGGTGGAATGAAGATTGGCAGGGGGAAACCGAAGTACTCGGAGAAAACACGCCCCAGCGCCACTTTGTCCACCACAAATCCAATTTGACCAGACCCAGGATCGAACCCGGGCCGCCGCGGTGGTAAGCCAGCGTCTAACCGCTTCAGCTATGGCGCGGCCTTGGCCCACCCCTTACACACATACACATCAGCATCTTGGTCAACATCGAAATGCTGATCATGTGAAGGGCCTTTAACACGTTGCCAAAATTTATACCTGACTTTTCCAGAAAAAGGTTTCAGTTCCAATATTTTGTTCAAAAGTGTGAAATAATTTGTCCAAAGGCCTTATGAATGGTTCCTTACAAGTTGCACAACATTTTTATTGACGCACAATAAACTACTCATCTGAAACACGGGTGCGCCTGCTTTGTACCGTTAGGTTCGCCTGTGAGTTCACTCCCCATTTTGTAGGGATCGGTTACTAAGTTTCCTTACCTCTCCATTTTGTTGCGCCAGCAGTGCAACGCGGTAAAACCACCGATGCTTTTACACAGGAATTTGCTTGTAGCTTTCTGTTACCGAACTGAATAAAGGCCCTGCTTTCGTAGTAGCAGTATTGTTCTTTTCAGGTCTTCGTCTCATACACTGTGCAGTTTTTTCTCCCCATTCAAGATGTATTTATACGCCCTCATAAACATTTATGTAAACTGG